AAGCAGGTATGAACATTCCATGGACAGTATTTGTCTGCTGCATTAAAACTTTTTTGCATTTATTTCTACGTAACCCCAAAGAGAAATGGCCTTTGCCAGGCCCATCTTGTAACATGCATTTTAAGCAACCTAACCAGCATTCCCTGTCCCATTGTGATGAACCTACTTTCCAACACTTCTTTTGAGCTGTGACCCAAAAAGTCAGACTATGTCTGGGACTCACTGATGAGTCTTCACCTTTCATTTGGACAACAATCTCCCAATGTGTATTCAGTCTATGTCTATATTCTATCCACTATGCACTCAAATATCCAGTTGGCTACATTTCAACCACAAACGTGTGCTTTTAAACAGAATTTTACTTGACTGGCTAACACAAAGTAGTACATAACTGTGAATGGGTGGAAAATGATAAATGTCATTTAATTATATTTTTTCTAACCTAAAAATGTGCAAATGTTTGGGTCATCTACTTCTTTTTAACTGTCTTCCTAAAGGACCATCCATCCATCCATTTTCTTACACCCTTGTCCTTAGTGGGGTCGGGAGGTGTTGGTGTCTATCTCCAGCTAACTTTCCATGCGAGAGGTGGAACAGGTCGCAAGCCTGTCGCCGCTTCAGAAAGGACATTTTTTTAAATAAAGTTATCTGTGTGTAATTTAATTATAATATAAAAGAAGCTTTTCTGTAAAAGTGGTCAGAGACTTGTGAACATTGATTAGCAAACATAAAGATCATGAAGACCAAATGACCAAATGAGCATAGCAGATAGCCATTGTTTGAAGAAAACAAACACAACACTTCAGCCTGATCACACCATCCCCACAGGGGGGGGGGTAGAATGGTTGAATGAAAAATAAAACTAAAATAAACAGTTACACAAAAGTGTTTCACTGTAAAGATGGCTTGTAGTGTGATTTGTTGCAACCTGAAGTGTAAAATAAACTTCAGTGGAGTTTGAAAACAAAATATGTGTATAGGTTTATGTCAGGTTGAACAATGTGTATGCCCAGTTGACTTTTTTTTTATTTTTATTTTTTTTTTGGGGGGGGGGTATTATAATATATAGAGGGGGTCCAGAATAAAATCTTTGGGAACCACTGGGTTAAGGTATACTAGTCAAAGAGACGTTGGTTAGGTATTTCAATAAATTTAGGGTCGGGAGGTGCTGGTAAAGCATAAAACACATTTAATCATACTCAACTCATACATTCCTCAAGCTAGTGGGGTCACCAGTTAATAATGCTGTGAATTTGGTTCTGCAAGAGAGGAATGAAAATAGAAAGGGGATGTTGCTCTCGCAGTGCTTAACTACACAGACGGGAAATTAGGCCAGAGTAAGAACAAGAGGCTCTCTGCGATGTGTTTGGGCTCAATGTTGGTATTAGGTGGAGGCTCTTGAGCTGAAGTAGGAAAGTGCTTCTGAGGCTTTGTTTGGATCATTTTCCAATGGCTGTGTAGGTGAACGACTGCAAATGGATGTGTTATCATGTGGTTGTTTGTCTGCGTGCATTGTAACTGAGGATGTCTCACGGCAGAAGCACTATTGTTTCATGCTCCCCTCTGCTCTTCCTTCCTTCCTTTTTTTCCCCTGGGTGGGGACAGCAAATAGGGACAGTCTTCCTCAACAGGCCTACGTGGAGATGGCCTGTGGAGGCCGGTGGGTGAAAAATAAGGCTGCTAGGCTGGAAGAGGCCAACGAAGCAGCCAGCACCAGGGGCCATGCTGTGTTGTGCCATGCTATGCCTCACTTTTGTGCCACTCCTCACCACACCATTAAAAATGACAAATGCTCCCATCAACTGCTTTCCCAGGTTAGCAACTGCCGCCTGGTGCTCCTGAAGCCCTGTGTCTGCCCTAGTTCATCAGTTTGCCACAACTGGAACAATCATTTATTATGAGGGAGTCATCTTTCATATACACCCGATGTGATTTCTATCATTGTAAGGTTATGAGTTGAATCGCATAGGGGCACAAAAAGGAGAAAATCTTAAAAGATTATTGAAATTAACTGTACCAATATTCATATTCATAATAATTTTCCAAACAGATTCTAATTTCTAACTGTTTACTTAAGGTTTCTGCTATAATTTCTAGTCTTTATAATACAAATTTCAAACATCAAAAATTAAAATAGATTATTGCAACATTTTTGGCACATTAAAGTAAAATTTGGCACAGCTACAGAGCACATTTAATCGTTGCACACTGGATATCGGCATTTAACTTAAAAAGTTAATTTCCCTGTTTTCTCCAAAATGAAGTGACACATTTGTGAATGTAGTAGAGAAATAAAAATCTCAAGTGATTTATTGAAGAAATCATGAAGGAAAATGGCTAAATCATTGATATGTTGTGATTTTCAAACATTTTCCTTACTAAGAAGGCTTTTTGAAATTAATTTTTACATGACAAGGGAAGGTGAAATTTTTCCTTGCAGAAGTTTTTAGTATTTTGTTCAGTAAGTTGTGTTTATTCCTTTATAAATAATTATAATATTCTACAAAACATTGTTCTGTATTATCAGTTAACCCCTAAGTTTTGAGTTAGCCTTCTTTATGCAACCCTTCAATTTCTCAATTAAAATTGTGGCAACTTGAATAGTTCAGACTTTTTTCTCTGACCATGTCATCTGTTCCTTTGCAGAAGTCTTCTACATATTTTAGTGTTTTTAATCTTGAGACGGTTTTTTCCTACAACCCTTGCTTTCTAAACATCTTTTTAGCGATGGCACCAGTGTACATCATTGCAGTATATCATTAAAGCAAGCATTAGGATCTCTTGATAAAGAAAATATGTTTTCAAGAAAGTTTTATGGTTTTCCACATCTCATTATTACCTTGTTTCTCTCTACCAAAAGCTTAAATTCAATCTTAATCAGTTATTTCTCCATGGCTGGCATCTGCACTGTATATACAGTGTGATTGACAGATTGCTAGAAAAGCCGTTGGCTCCTGTTAGCTGGGACATGTTTTAAAGCACTGAGTACTTACAAGACTTTTAATTAGCACTCATTTATTATTTTCCAACTATGCTTGAAGCATGTATTAGCCTTGATATGCTCTGAGATATTTGCATTATTTATGTTATAAATAATAAAGCCACTTCTGGATTGGCTTAAAAGGTAAATAGTGTTTCAGGTTTTAGCTTTAGCATTTTGCAATGAGGTGATGATTTCATCATTAGATTCTTCAGACCTTAAATGTGTGTGAAATACAGTGTCAAAAGTATTGAAGCTCTGTCATATTCCAACTACAAACATTTACTTCAAGCTGCAGAGAAGTGTAAAGCAAGGCTATGTTGTAAAGTAGCATTCCAAACTTTTAACATATCTTGAACTAGTATTACCCCAGGGGAAAAATTCAGGCGGAGTTTGGGCTGTCCACCTGAACTTTAGGCTAGATAGACATACATCAGAGAAGCAGTCTGTATCTGTACCTGTTGTATCTCTGGATGGACTTTCTTCACCCAGAAGATGGAGAAAGTTATGGTGTCTGTTCTTCTGGTGTCTACGACATACACCAGAAGAAAGCCATGGTTGAAAAATAAAAATACAGAGTCCCATTTGCAGTTTGCCAAATGGAGGATATAATGTCTGAAAAAGTAATCAGATTACACAACATAAAATGATTTGATCACAATCCAAAACACTTTGAGTGGAAGAAAAATAAAATATAGCTCACCACTCTGAATGCACCAACTCTCTTGTGAAACACGATGGCAGGAACATCATCTGTGAAGTTGATGTCCTTAACACAGACAGAAAAGTTGGTCAGATAAGGCAAATCTGGAAGGTCTTTTAGAGTAAAGGTCTTGAGACTAAGGTGCTGGTTGAACTCAAAGGATAACAACATCAAAACAAACTAACGATGAAATGGTTTCAATCAAAGATCTAAAGGTTACTAATAGTCCAGCCAAAGTCCAGATCTTGAGTGCAAAAATAATGCAACAACAAAACTTTTACATGTTTCTATTTGGCCAGCCATTAATCATTTTATAAAATGGACCCAAAACATAAAGTTCTATTCCATTCATTAAGCTTGTAAAAAAAAACCCAAACAACTAAAACAGGTGAAAATTATCTAGGCCAGTGTGCTGCAAAGAGACAGCATTGAAGTATTAGTAGCCTGGAGTAAAATCAGGCCTTTTCAGGCTGAAGATTAACAACTCCATTCCAGTTCTTCAGCTCTGGGGACTTGGGGGGACATTTCTAGCTCAAGACAGGTGTATGATTCTGGGCTACAGGGCGGGAACTGCCTTTTCCTCTGTCGAGGCAGAGTCTGGTCCTCTGTGTCCCTGCAGGGAAAGACCCATTGTGCAGACCATCTGTTGCAACACACGCACACACAAAAAAGGGGGTAAGAGGTCTATGGTGAGAGGATGGGACTGATGTGCAATGCCTGTTAAATAGCATTAGGGGGTGAAGCTGAATTTTTCAAAGCTATTAGAGATGCAAATAGATCTGTACTTGTGTGAACTATGAGGAAGTTAAATGAATAAGTCATTCTATAAGTGAGATTGATTGCCCAGGTTAGGAATTTGCCAAGGGTAAGATAATATACAAATTTGAAATAAGAGGATATTAAGCAGGCATCTATAGGAGATACCTAGGTGATAAAGTCTTGCACATTTTATTCTGAGTTACTTTCAAGCGGCTGACTGAAAAACCACCTTTTTGCAGATTTAACACGAAATGCAGTAATACCTGTCCACCAAGTGGGGGCGTCATGTCCCCGTAGTGCATCGGGGGGGCGATTCAAATAGGTCAAGGAAAAGTTTTGTGTTTTGACAATGCAAAGTAGGCGGAGCGGCGGCTTGGCCATTGGTTAGTGAGTTTCAGCTACAAGTCGTTGATTGGTTCTGGCGCTCTAATGAGTCCGTGAGCATGCAACATCGGGTCTCCCCCCCTATAGCCACTCCTCGGACCCCCCCAACAACCTATCCTCCCCTCCCTCCCCGCCTCCCGTTCTCCTTGGAACCCCCACTCCCCCCCTCGGCCCCTATACTCCGCTTCTCCCCTTGTGCTGATTGTCACACATTGTTTACTACGGCTTGAAATGTGACTCACAACAGAGGCTGTCTGCTGGAGTACCGCTCTGACAAAGCGAAGGATTTCTTTTCTTGACGCGCTCCGTGCGTCTTGATTATTTTTTTGGAGGGGACACAGGTTTGTGGAGACTAACCCTTCTGCCATGTCAGTGGATTTGCTTGCGCTTTTATCCGTCCTGGTCATCACGTCCTCTGCGATGGAAGGTAAATAATCAATTTTGGATTTATATTAATATAGACAACGCGGCTTTTAAACAAGGCGCGTTGTGATGGTCTTTGGAGAGGGGGTGCGGGGGGAGCGGCGCGTCCAGGTTCTTCTGCTGGGCAGCGCCTGCATCTCCCCCGGCGTTCAGGGATGTCATACACGTGGGTCGCAGCGGATTGCTTTGGTTCTTCTCTCTTTATGTGGGAACATTATTTTCCCGCAGCGCTGAACGCCGTTGATACTAGTTTATATGACTACATAAGTTTGTGTCATTTTAACTTTATAATATAAAGTTATATTATAACTGCCACGGTAAGCATAGTAAATGGCAAAGAGTTGTGATGTCTCTCTCTTTATACTTTCGCATATTATCCAAAGAGCAATTATACTCCCTCCCCTCAGAGTGGCACAAAAGGAACTCAATGATTTCTTACACGTTTTCTCATGAAGAAAATTTTTTATATATTATTAAGTAAATCCCCCATGTATAATTTTCTTGCATCTACAGATGCTGAGTCAAACTCCTATGGACTCTGAATATAGATCTGTTGGGAAATCTTGTGTAAAAATGTTCTTTTCCCTGTTTGCATTTTTGTTTTTTGTTTTTCTACTCTGAGACACTCATCTTTACAGCTTCTTCTTCAGTTGTAGCCTACAGTAGCCAGCATCTCCTCAGTCAAACGTTTTTCACTTCCTCTGCTTTACCTCATGGGACAGGACTCTGGGCTGTGTGGCTTCAGCCAGAATATCTGTTGGGTGGATGAAACCAGCTCCCTTCCATCATGTTGTTTCCTCCTGTGTCAAACATAGACAGGAACACACGAGCTTTAGTTTATATCCACCTTCCTAATAAATGAGTTAGATCAGAATCAGTTTCCTCACACACAGGTTTTCTCTTTAATCATTCACTAGTTTGCTCCTGGATCCTCCCCAGCTCTGGGATACGCTCTGTAATTTTGGCTTTAGTCTTCTTGTTTTTGCTCATCGCATTTTAACACATAGCTACAGATACCAAGGCAGAGGACCAAATTGCTACCTCTTCTAGAAGGGATACTTTTTGAGGTTGAGATGTTTACCCAATGTTAAATGACTGCAAACAGTTCAGAGACGAGAGGCTGAATGCGAGAGTAAAAAAGTGAAATTTTGCAGCTTACTAAAGAGGATGTATGATGAGGATGGAGCAGATGGGTATACGGAGATAGCCCCTGGGTTACCTCCCTATCAAAGATTAAAATTATTTCCTTGTTTGGGTTGCTAATTGAAAGTAGATGGCCCCACGGGAAGGTTAAAATCTTCACTGATCCGAACTCCAAGCTGTTGCTGTTTTTCCCCCCTCTCTTTTTTTCAAATACGCGAGAGAGAAAGTGGAGTCTCTGACCCCATTATCTCGGCCCATCCTGGCTCCTATTGATCTCATTATGAATCCAAATCAGATGAGGATAACAAAAATTCATAGAACCATGCGAAGTGTCTGGATATATTTGCTGCTGCGGCCGTATGGGTTGATGCTTGAAATAATTGATTTATCTAACCTCTATTTTCAGTCACATTACTCAAATAAAAAGCTAATGAAAATATTAGTAGAACAGCCAACTTTGGAATAAAAATGACCAGAAATCAATATTCTTCAGAGCTTTAATATGTTAATGGCAATTAAGCATATGAGTTAAAATTTGGTTAACAAAAAAGTTTGCTGCAGTAAAAGTGTAGAAATGTTGGGTGGGTAAAAAGTGTTGGAAGCTTCCAGACATTTTTAAACTGGAAAACCTTTCATATGTCCTAGTCAGTTCCAGTTTTTGTCAGTAGGTTTTCCGTTCGACTCTGGGCTTCTTCTTTCCCATCATGGTGCTGCATAGATTGGTCTTCAGATAGCAGCAACAGAAGTCATTCTCCTCCGCTCGGAGAGTCATTGCTTATTTCTGTTTGCCCTTAAACCAATTAGGCTTAGATAAACCCGCTCATTTAACAGCCCAGAACGGGGTGGTGGAGAGAGGGGGAGGAGGAGGAATTGAGGAAGGGGGGATTAATCATAGAGGCTGGAAGATCGGCAGGGACAGAGGGAGATGAAAAGATGACACAGGCAGAAGAGGAGAGGTCAAAGGAAAACAGTATGCATGTTTTACAAATGAGAAGACTGAAACAGAAAAAAGGCAAAGGAAGTTTAAAAAAAAAGAGGAATATGTTGACAGTACATCCCTAAGTCAGGCTACTCCGTGATGTAAAACAGTGTCTGTACTTAATATGAGCCGGATTTGAATGCGTTCGCGAAGCTTTGTAAACAGTCCCAATGGATGATGTGTACACGTATTACAGAGTTGTAATGCTTTATCCTTACAGGATGCAACGGGGAACACTCCAGCTTCCTGAATAAATAATATTGTAGTATGGATTTATCAGGTGTGTTATTATCTAAACGAGATTCTTGTCCATCTGATATGTTGTTTTGAACTTGTTTTGCAGAAATAATGGTGTATATTATGTAGCTTTTCCATTATTTCAGAGCTATGAATGTCTTGAAATGTTGACATTAGTAAATTACATCAGTAATTTTTGAAATATCCACTTGGTGGAATTGCTCTAAATGGTGATTTTCTCTTGTTTTGCAAAGTAATGATCTCAAGAAAACACTTCCCACCAGGGTTAGGATTATGTCTCATAACAATATATAAGCTGTTTAGAATGCTGTGGACCTTTTGAATTCAGAAGAGTGTCTCTAAGTAGAGAACATTAAACTTACCAGCACTATTTCTGATGCAGTGAACATGGACGAAGGGGAACCTCTCCTGTTGTCATTAAAGTAACTCTGAAGAAAAATAAAGGAAAATACTGTTGCACTGTTAAAATGGAAAATGTGACTTTCTTCCCAAGCTCAACCTGGGAAGAATTATGATGAACAACAGCTATAATAATGAGCACAAGAAGAAATTGTTCTTTTTGGCATTCTATAGCACGTAATGGTGGAACCAGTCATTTACTAAAAAAAGACAGCTGTGATTCATATTGTTGAAGATGAAGAGGACTGTCTGTTATTGTCCTGAAATAAAACAGCATCTTCCTCTCTGAAGGCCAATTTTGTTATCCATAAAAACTGACAGATTATACTGCATTTTGTTTTCTGTTTGTTTGAGGGGGTTTTTGACCCTGGTTTTGTTACTGCGTGGGAGCTGGCTGCAGGCAGGGAGTGAGTAGGTATGGGTTTCCAGGTATAGCAGAGACAAGTAGAGTAATAAACTGCAGCTTATTGCATTCTGTCACTTCTATCTTTGCTCTTCAAAAGTGGTATTAGTAGTGTATTTTACACCATTACACATATTTTCTAATTACATGTGAGTCAAAATTTTATCAGATAGCCTGATGAAATAATTTAACAAGATCAAGATTAAAGAAAAGTAAATAAGTGTACCTATGCCGGTACACAAATACTGCACAAAGACAAAATTGATATTTTAATTAGGATATGACGTAAAACTGCTTAAATTCTATTTGTATTTCACAAAAACATGGACATTAATGAATTCATGCTGTATTTGGAGTGAAGTGATTCAGTTTTAGCACATGATCTGAATGTAGGACTAGTTCTTGTTAACGGGGAACTTGTTAACTTGTTATTTCAGACTGATGCGTGAGGACATATAATGACGGATTTTCAATCAAGTCATCAGTGGAAGATGGCATCCTACCCACGGAATCAGTTTTGTTACAGAATATTAATTTTATTGTTAGTATTTTATATAGTACGTCACTCTGGGATCATTACACTAAAGAAGTGTGAAATCAAATAATCTGTTTGTGTTAAATTTACTATGTGCTATTTTTGTTATGGTTTAGAAAATTTTGGTATTGTTTTCTGTAGACCATTTCCCTGTTAGTTTTCTGTATTTCTCCCAAATTAAATCCCATGCATAAACACCTAACTGGACCAATAATTTAGTGCTCTTAATGTTTATACTTTCTTCTCACCTTTGAAAAACAAAAGGTGGGAATAGAAAATCATGCTGGGCTACATTTGTGAAAAATCTGTTATTTGTGGTAGTATGTTTTCTTGTCTTGTATGGGTGTTGCATGTTTGATCAGGTTTTGTTGCGCCCCACTTATTTCTCCCACCTTTGTAATTTCATTGTGTCAGCCAAGGTTGCATAAATGTAGAGTTGCCTTGTGAGGCTGGTGTAGTTAGAAGCTCCGTTTCTCAATGTGTATCTTGTATATGTTCACCAGCACAGGGGACACAATAAAAAAAAGAACCAGAGTCTCCTAGGTATGTGAAAGCAAAACTGTTCCTTTATGGCACTCTGTCATTTCCAAACTGATGTAAGAATGATGAATGAAAAATAAAGCTGGAACCTAGCCCTCTGGCTGGACACAGTATGCAGCTGAAAAGACGTGAAGAATTACCTGTTATGTGCTCACATGAGGGTATTTTAGCCATAGGCACTACTGCTAACTTGGGACCACCTGAAGTAAAATTCAATTCTTCTCTCAGTTTGTACTACAGTGGGTGTTCATGTCGCCAGTGTGGTGCTACAACTATTACGGCTGAATTGGCTAGCAGACATGCCCTCATCTCATAATAGGGGCTCTATTTTGCCCACAGTAGAGCAACTACTTGGTGTTGAGACACACTTTAGACAGCCGAGGCAGTCAGCTATGACGACCCTAGTGCAAACACTTGCCAGCATTTGGTATGCCTGCAGTGCTGTAAATATGTTGCAGTCATACGTGCATGCAGTGATCTGTTTGGAGTTTTCTTTATACATGGCTGTATGCTGCAAACTATCTCACAGTTTATTTGATCACTGCTTTCTCACCCCTTTTGTTTGCCTCTTCCTCTTTCACTTACATGCACACATATGCAAACACACCCCCACATATCACATATAAACACATAGTGAGTCCCCCTTGGAGCTCACCTTACCCTAGAGACATCTGAGCCTTGGGAGGGCCAGATGGTGGATACAGACTGGGAGCTTTTGCGTGTGCACTTTTTTTGTAGCCCCCTAGC